AGATTAGGAAACCCTAATGGAAATCAGCAGCCTGAGCCACGAGTGATTGAGCGTGCACCAGAGGTAGCAGCTGCACCCGAACCTATCACGTTGGCGATGATACATGCAATGTTGGATTGTTAGATGGAAGAGACAAGGCGCCTACTTCAATAGAATAGAGAGCCTACGACACCTCTTGAGCAACCTGAGTTGAATGTAGAATAATCGGATGAAGGAAATTATAGTAGGATTGTTAGTCGAGTAGAACCCCAACTGGTTAGAAAAATAACCATGAGGGAGGAAATGAAGGAAATAATGGACATGGTTGCAAGTTCAAGAACTTCACGAGAGCAAAGCCATCGAGTCTTGCTAGAAGCCCCACCCCAGTGGAAGTCATGGATTGGATCTCAGAGATGGAGATGGTGTTTGATAGTTACAATTGTTGCAACAAGTAGAATACTGTCCTTGCGGTCAGACGATTGAAGACTAGGGTATTAACCTGGTGGAAGTTACAGGCTGATACCATGCCCAAAGGAGAAACTAGTAAGATGTATTGGGAAGACTTTCTAGTGCAGCTGAAAATGCAGTACTGCTGTGAGCAGGATCTTTTGGAAATCAACAACAAGTTCCAGAATTTGAAGAAGGGAAAAGTAAGCGTCACTGAGTATGCTGCAAGTTTTACAGAGAAAATGAAGCTTGTTCCTTATTTGGTTCCAACAGAACTCTCCAAATTCAACAAGTTTGCTAATGGATTGCCAACGGACTATAGTCCAATGGTCAAACAAGCAACTACTTTAAAAGCTGCCATCTGAGCAGCTAAGAATGTTGAGACACAGCTAAGAGAGAAGGGCCTGGAGAGAGAGGAGATAGGAGAGAAGAGGAAGTTTGGGGGATCTTCAAGATCCAACAAAAAGGGAATATACTCGAAGTCTAGTTCCAAGAATTTTGGTGGAGGAGATGAAGCAAAATGGTGCGAGAAGTGTAGGAAGAAACACCCTAGGAAGTGTAGCGAACAGTTGACATGTTTCAAGTGTGGGAGGAATGGTCATTACTCCAACGAGTATACATCAAAAAAGAAGGTGTGTTATGGATGTAATAAATAAGGGCATATTGCAAAGGACTGCCCAAAGAGGAAGGAGGCTGCAAAGCCTAATTTGCCACCAAGGCCAATGGTGAGAGCATTCCAAATGACGCTGGAAGCAGCAAGGGAGGAAGCAGATGTCGCTTCAGGTACCTTTCTTGTAAATGATCTGCCTGCCAATATATAGTTTGATTTCGGAGCTAATTACTCCTTTATAACGCATGATTTTGGTAGAAGGCTAGCATTTCCTGTAGATAAACTAGATAGTGCTCTAATAGTAGAGGTAGCTAGTGGAAAATTTGTACCTGTTAGTGATTGCATTAGGAATATTGACATTGAATTGAATGGGAATAAATTCCATGAGGAATTGTTGCCCGTTGACTTGATCGGCTTCGACAAAGTTTTAGGAATGGATTGGCTTGGTGCGAACGATGCCGACATCAAGTGTAGAAATAAAATTGTGGTGATCAAACCACCCAGAAGAGAACCATTTGTGGTGTATGGGGACAAACGTATAGTAAATTCTGGAATCATCTCCCTAATGAAAGCCAGAAAGTGTTTGTCATAAGGATTTACATCATACCTGGCATTCGTGATCGATGCAAAGAATGAGAAAAAGGAGATGTGGAGGATTCCAGTGTTGTGTGACGTTCTAGAAGTCTTTCCCAAAGATCTTCCTGGATTTCCCCCTGATAGACAAGTAGAGTTTAGGATAGACCTATTACCATGAACCACACCTATAGCAAAAGCACCTTACTGATTAGCACCAACAGAGATGAAGGAGCTAATGATACTCTTCAGGAGTTGTTGGACAAGGGTTTTATCAGACCCAGTTAATCACCCTAGGGAGCTTCGGTGTTATTCATGAAGAGATAAAGGAATTGTAGTATAGTGGTAAGTATTCAGGCTTGTCATGCGGGTGACCCGGGTTCGGTCCCCGGCAAAAAAAATGAGAATTGCCCGCCAATCTTCCGAGCATTTGGTCAATGAAAGGAAGGGGAAAATGATCTTTTCGTGTGCTTGAATTCAACTTTCTATAATCAATGCACACCCTCCATCCATTTTGAACTCGAGTGGGTACCATTACTCCCTTGTTATTTTCAATAACCGTGATTCCCGTTTTCTTAGGAACCACTAGAACCGGTCTAACCCATTTGGATTCGGAAATGGGGTAAATCATGTCCGCATCAAGGAGCTTGATTATCTCTTTCTTGACAACTTCCATCATTGGATGATTTATCTTCTTTGAGCTTCCCTCCTAGGCTTACAATCATCCTCCATGAGGATCTTGTGAGTGCATACATTAGGACTAATCCCCTTGATGTCCACTATTGTCCATCCTATGGCCTCTTTATGATCTTTCAAAACTTCAACCAATTTATTTTCTTCAAAGTCTTTCAATTGAGAGAATATGATCACCGGAAGAGTTTCGTCATTACCTAGATAAGCATACTTCAAGTGGCTAAGTAATACCTTTAACTCAAGTGTGGGTGGATGGATTATGGAAGGGGGCATCTTGCTTGGGGAATGAGATTAGACAACTTGAGGGACATCCTTCTGTGTTGAATTGTTAACTTCTAAAGTCTTCACAATCTCTTCAACTTCAAAGTCCAATGTATACATATCCAATGTTTTCTTCAAACTCGCACAATCAAGACTCATGTTGAGCACCATCTTCAAAATATCCCCATGTGATAAATCGGATAGTTCTTGGGTGATTGGCTCAATCACATCAACCCGATACAATAGAGAAATATTGCTAGGGTACCTCATTGCTTCAAAGATGTTGAAGTGAATGGTCTCTCCATCAAACTCCATGGTGATCTTCCCATTATGGACATCAATTATCGTGTGAGCGGTATTCATGAAGGGTCTTCCAAGAAGGATCATTGATGACTTCGAAGGAGTCTTATCTTCAAGGTCAATGACATTGAAGTCCGCAGGAAATACTAGTTGATTAACTTGCACTAGTACATCCTCCAACACGCCTCTTGGAAATACACTTGACTTGTCCGCTAATTGAATGATTACTCTGGTTTCTTCCAAAGGTCCAACATTGAGAGATTGAAAAACCAAGTATGACATGACATTGATTGATGCTCCAAGATCTAGCATGGCACTTTCTGATGGGTTTTGAGCATTCTAACACTTCCTAAGTGTACATGCAACCCTAATTGATGGGATTTAGGTAAAACAAATAAACTAGAAAACAATTCCTAAGTTTACATGCAACCTACTTTGGATCTATGTTTTAACTATTGAACATATAACTTTGAATTGCAAAACAAGAACCCTAGAGGAGAGAGGCTGATTTCGAAATTAACAAACTAGGGTTTAGGGTTTACATACCTTTCAATTGTTATAGCAAACAATTGATATTCCCTTGATCTTGATCTTGATCTTCTTGGAAGCTTTAGCACCATAAGTGTAATGCCTCTAATGGAATCACACCCAATGACTAGCAAAAAGGAAAGTAGAAGAAGAGAGAGGGGAGGGAGTATGCAATTTCGGCCAAGGTATTCTTCCAAAGAATGAGTACCCTAAAATGTGAGCCAGGAGGCTCCTTAAATAGTTGAGGGAACTAGGGTTTAGGGAAAACCCTAGTTATCCTTTGCTTAGGGCCTAAGCAAGACCCAAGGCCTTATCTTGGACCCCTTGGACGAATTCTCTAGGGTTTCCCCTAGGGTTTTCGTCCACCCCCTTCCAAGGGAGTTCTGGATCCTTCCATTCAACTATCAGTTAATTACAAACTAGTCCCTGTACTTTATAATTAATTCTTTTAACCCCAAAATCAATTATGATTAATGTCTGGCTAACAATTAATTAAACATAATGATTTATAATTAATATATTAATCCATTAACATATTAATAAATCATTTATATATATATATATATATATATATATATATATTATATATTAATTTATTAATCTTATAAATTAATATCTCTCCTTTCATAATTTCCTTGTCCAGTTGCTAGATTGAGGGCAACCCAAAAGGACTGTGCTGCTATCAATTCAAGTACATACCAATTATAGTTATGGGCTTAGACACCTAATCCAACAGTCTCCCACTTGGATAAGTCTGTAACTATAATTGCTAGTATGCCTTCTAAATTTGATCAGCAAATTGTAGCTTCCAAAAAAGCTGCTGCTGAACTCTGACCAGTCATTTACGTGTCCTAAGATAAGTGATCATATAATCCTTCGTTCTGCTAGAGATCCTTAGACAAAAGACATGGAATGTAATCAATCTCTTTGTCCAGAATCTAGGTTTCCCGATTCCTGATTTGTGATGATGTAGGACTTCTAATCGAACACATCAATTTAGTCATGGCTGGGCCCAGCACATAAGTCAACACCAAATTATCGAGGGGCCCACAGATATCGCTTTTCCGCTTAGGGCAAAAGGAACGAATAAACGTTGACTCATATGCTTGTATCTTTTACTCATCAAATTATACATGACAATACGTTTTATAACACCAAGTTACTGATGCGTTTTCGTATCACCAATGCATGACCGACTTGTAAATTGCAACTCATATATCTTCGTTTCAAGATTATAAGATATTATCGTCTCAGTATTACTCGTGATGAATTCCATGAAGTGATACTCTGAGCGAGGGTTTATCTAGTACTCAAATCTCAATTTCTGAGTACTCATGAACATTGCAGCAATTCTATTGCCATGTCTATCCTTAGACAATCTACAATCCAGTTCATGACAGTCTTAATTCACTACTTACTTCCAAAAAGTATGAGTGACTGTGGAGTTTGAATAATCTTATTATTCGGGAAGTAAAACATGCAAAAATGAAACACAATAATAAACAATTGACAAAAGGCAGAGAAACCAAACTTATAAATAATACTTTATTATTTAATCACCAAAAGTCAATTACATTTACTTTGTTACAAGTTTCAGAATAAAACTAATCTAACTACTAAAACTAATATCATCTTTCAGTCCTATGCTCCGAGCATGCTGAATATGCTTAGCCCTACTCAGACCCTTTGTGAGGGGATCTGCTGGGTTATCTTCAGATGACACCCTCTTTACTATAAGATGGCCTTCTTCTACTCTATGTCTGATGAAATGGTACTTTCTGTCGATATGTCTGGTTTTACCATGATCTCTCGGTTCCTTTGTCAAGGCAACCGCTCCTTCATTATCGCAGAATAGTTCCATAGGCTCCTGGATGGTTGGAACAACTCCGAGATCCCCGATGAAGTTCCTCAACCAAGCTGCTTCTTTCGACGCTTCACTTGCTGCTATGTACTCTGATTCACAAGTAGAATCAGCCACCGTATTTTGCTTGGAACTCTTCCAAGTAACTGCTCCTCCATTCAGTAAAAAAACCCAGCCCGACTGAGAACGGAAGTTATCTCTATCCGTCTGAAAGTTGGCATCACTGTAACCATCTACTCTCAAATATCACTGCCACCAAGCACAAGGACCCAGTCCTTTGTCCTTCGCAAATACTTGAGTATATTCTTAACTGCTATCCAATGAGCTCTACCTGGGTTTCCCTAATAGCGACTGACCATGCTCAAAGCAAATGCCACATCAGGGCGAGTACATGTCATAGCGTACATGATCGATCCGACAGCGGAAGCATAAGGTACACGACTCATGTCATCTATTTCAACATCTGTACTCGGGCATTGAGTCTTACTCAATTTGGTATTGCTCTGGATAGGTAGCTCTCCCTTCTTGGAATTTTCCATACTAAACCTCTTTAGTACCTTATCCAAGTATGTGCTCTGACTAAGTCCAATTAGTCTCTTCTTTCTATCTCTCAATATTCTAATCCAAGAATATAGGCAGCTTCTCCAAGGTCTTTCATGGCAAAACACTTTCCAAGCCAAGACTTAACTTCTTTCAAGGTTGGAACGTCGTTACCAATGAGTAATATGTCATCGACATACAACACCAGAAAAGTTACTATACTCCCACTAGCCTTGATATACACACTGAACTCATCTTCACTTCTAGAGAAACCAAACTCTTTGACTTTCTCATGGAAGCAAAGATTCCAACTGCGAGATGCTTGTTTCAATCCATAAATGGATTTTCTCAAGCTTGCACACTCTATTGGGGAACTTTGCATCAACAAAACCCTCTGGCTGACTCATGTAAACATCTTCAGCCAACTTCCCATTAAGGAAAGAAGTTTTGACATCCATCTGCCAGATTTCATAATCATGAAAGGCAGCTATGGCGAGCAATATCCTAATAGATTTAATCTTAGCCACTGGCGAGAAGGTCTCATCATAGTCAACCCCTGGGGTTGAGTGAAACCTTTTGCAACCAGTCGAGCCTTGAATGTGTGCACATTTCCATCCATGTCTGTCTTCTTCTTGAAGATCCATTTGCACCCAACTGTCTTACGACCTGGTGCACTATCAACCAAATTCCAAACTTGGTTGTCATACATGGACTTAATCTCGCTGTCCATTGCCTCTTTCCACTTGGAAGCCTCTGGGCCTGCCATTGCTTCCTTATAAGTGACTGGTTCATCTAAGTTTACCAGTGTTCTGTCACTTATGAATGTGTCACCATCTGAAGTAATATGAAAACCATACAACTCAGGTGGCACACTCACCCTAGTGGATCTTCTAAGAGGTAATGAGTTATCGATTGGTTCAACAGGAACTGTTTCCTCTGGTTGAGTGCTAGTGTCATCTAAGGTTCCTTCATTGGCTGAATCTTGAATTTCTTGAAGGTCAATAGTGCTCCCACTGTCCACTTTGAATATGAGCTCTCTTTCAAGAAAGACTCCTCTTCGTGCTACAAAGACCACGTTCTCACTAGGCCTGTAGAACAAATATCCAAAAGACTGCTTTGGGTAACCAATGAAAACACATTTCTCACTTCTAGCTGCTAGCTTGTCGTGAGTCTCTCGTCTTACGAAAGCTTCACAACCCCAGACTTTAATATGTGCTAACGAGGGAACTTTCCCTGTCCACATTTCGTGAGGTGTTTTGGCAACCTTCTTTGTAGGGACAAGATTAAGGATGTGGGCGGCTGTCTCTAAGGCATACCCCCAAAAGTGAATGGGAAGCGAAGCCCGACTCATCATAGAACGAACCATGTCTAACAAGGTTCGATTACGCCTCTCAGCTACACCATTTAAATGTGGTGTCCTAGGAGGAGTCAATTGTGAGACTATCCCACATTCTTTCAGATAGTCGTTAAACTCGATACTAAGATACCCCCGCCTCTATCGGATCTAAGTATCTTTATTTTTCTGCCCAATTGATTTTCGACTTCATGCTTAAACTCTTTGAACTTTTCAAAAGTTTCTGACTTATGCTTGATCAAGTAGATATATCCATATCTGCTATAATCGTCAGTGAAAGTCACATAGAATCGATTAGCATCTCTTGTAGTTGATCTGAAGGGCCCACACACATATGTGTGTATGAGATCCAACAGACCTTCACCTCTTTCACAAGACCCTGTGAATGGTGATTTTGTCATCTTTCCCAAAAGACAAGATTCACACACATCATCTGATTTTAGGTCAAATGATTCCAACACTCCATCCTTTTGGAGTTGGGCTATGCGTTTCTTGTTAATGTGTCCAAGACGACAATGCCACAAGCATGCCTTGTCTACACTATTAGACAAGTCAATATTAAGTACACTATTTCCTAAGCTATCAACACAAGTCACTGTTTCATACACACCATTACAAGGTAAAGCTTCAAACATAAAAAACCATTCTTATAAACAGAAATTGAACCATTCAAATCATTAAAAGAATATTTGAAACCTTGTCTGAACAATGCATGAAATGAAATAATGTTTCTCGTCATCTCAGACGAATAGCAACAGTTTATTAAATCTAATCTAACATCATTACTAAGCAGAAGCTGATAAACTCCGATCTTGGTTACTGGTGAAGACTTTCTGTTTCCCATGATCAGGTTTATCCTTCCTCGCTCTATCTCCTCACTTTCCTTTAGACCCTGCAAATCAGAACAGATATGAAAACCACATCCTGTATCAAGGACCCATGAACGAGAAGATAATGAGTTATTAGCAGAAATAGTGTAAATACCTGCCGAAGATGGCTTCACTTTGCCATCCTTGATATCTTGCAGATATTGTGGGCAAGATCTCTTCCAATGCCCCTTTTGGTTGCAGTAAAAGCAAACTGCCTCTTTTGGATCAGAAACATGGGGAGTGGAACCATTGGGCTTAGCCTTTGGGCCATTACTAGATGACCCAGCTTGAGCCTTGCTCTTCCAATTTTGTTTGGGAGGACCTTTCCCTGTCCAATAGCCAAAACAAGGGCACTCGTAGGTGTGGAGGGTATACTTTTACCCTTCATCCCTGCCTCAGCTGTCTGCAACAAGTTGTGCAATTGGGCCAAGGTCTGCTCAGTATTGTTCAAATGGTAAGTTAGAATAAACTGACCATAACATTCAGGAAGTGAGTTCAAGACCATGTCAATGGCCAATTCCTCATCAAAATGAATATTGAGCTTGACCAAACGCTCTATGTAGCGTTGCATTCTTTGCACATGTAACACAACCGACTCCCCATCTTTCATCTTGCAAGCCATGAGTGACTTGACTACTTTGAACTTTTCTTGACGAGCTCGCTTATGGTACTTTTCCATAAGGTCCTTGTTCATCTCGAAAGGCCAGTAGTCCTCATAGTACCTCTGCAGTTCTGGGGACATAGTTGCCACCATGATGCATGCCACTTTGGTAGCATCATCGTAATGTTTCTTGTAGGCAGCAAGATCTTCAGGAGTAGCTTCATTCTCATCAAGCTCTTTGAGCTCCTTTTCAAGAACATATCTTTGTTCTCGAAACGAAGAGCCATCTTGATGTTGCGCATCCAATCGTTATAGTTTGAGCCATCCATAATGACTTTGGAGCATATATTGAGCAAAGAGAAGTTTTGGTTGGAGGAGGACGAAGTAGAAGTGTTTCCAGGAGTAGACATCTGAAAAGAAAGAAAGTTTTAGTTAGATTTCAAGACACCTTAATAGAATAACCCAAAGATATAATATCAAGGTTAGGATCCAACTATGAAGATTCACAACTTAGAAATGGGATGCCGAGATCCAAGTGCAAATTTCATAAAGGTAGGTGAATGACGATTCACCAATTCCACCATTGGACGAAACAAACGAAGTGAAATTTCTAATTCTTTTGAGATACATTGAAACTATTCAATGGCATGTTTTAATCTCAGATTATGCTCTTCTATTTGTGACTGGGATGCCGAGGATCACAAACAAGATGTGAATAACCATGCAAATGTGCTTGGTAACCTCATTGTCTTTATCATTAACTATTGATGTGCTGGTAAACCACACACGCTCCATCAAAATGACAATTATGAGATACCCATTACTACTCTTATTAGTGCCTTTTAGTGTGCTGGTTAACCACACACGCTCCACTAACGACCAATAAAGCATAATGTGCAATTTCATGTACTAGCATACTTTTCACATTTTTCCTAAAGTAACTAGAGTTGGGATTTTGAAAATAATGTTCTAGTACTTTCTTTAATATCATTATACTTTTAATGAGAAGTAGTTGTCCTATCAAATTCGTTCTGCTAACGACCCTCCACTAATCAAGGAAGCGGTGGGTGAGAGTGGACACCCATTTAACTACCATTTTATAGGCAGTTTCCTTATACCCCCCTTATAGATTAGCTTCGTGAATGAGGCATACTAGCAATTTGACTGACCATATTCTTATACATATATAATATTAAACTTTTAATTATAATATATATAAGGTGTGTTTTAAAACATTTTAAAACTTCAAGGGTTTATAAATTTCGAAATTTAAGCTATTAAATTTAAATTTAAATAAACCAATTAACTAGATTTAATATTTATCTTTTAATTAACTATTAATCAAATTATTAAATCTTGTAAGGATTATCTAATTAAATTAATCCATTAATTTAATCATAATCCTTATCCCTCTAAATTTCGAAAAATATGGTAAGGATAATTATCCAATTAATCTAATTAAGTAACAATTATCCAAAACAAGAAACCCTAGTTATCCTCTAGCATATTTCGAAATTCACAAGGGAGGAGGCTAGGGTTTTCAAAACCCTAACCCTAATTTCGATTAAGGGTTCTTTGGAGGCTAGGGTTTTCGAAAAAAAACTTTTTATCCAAAACCCTAGAAATCGAAAATTTGGCCTTTAGGGTTTAATAGCTATAAACACTAATTTGCAATTCAACAATTATAGCAATTCAATTTAAAACAAACAATGGCTCTGATACCACTGATGGGATTTAGGTAAAACAAATAAACTAGAAAACAATTCCTAAGTTCACATGCAAACCTACTTTGGATCTATGTTTTAACTATTGAACATATAACTTTGAATTGCAAAATAAGAACCCTAGAGGAGAGAGGCTAATTTCGAAATTAACAAACTAGGGTTTAGGGTTTACATACCTTTCAATTGTTATAGCAAACAATTGATATTCCCTTGATCTTGATCTTGATCTTCTTGGAAGCTTTAGCACCACAAGTGTAATGCCTCTAATGGAATCACACCCAATGACTAGCAAGAAGGAAAGTAGAAGAAGAGAGAGGGGAGGGAGTATGCAATTTCGGCCAAGGTATTCTTCCAAAGAATGAGTACCCTAAAATGTGAGCCAGGAGGCTCCTTAAATAGTTGAGGGAACTAGGGTTTAGGGAAAACCCTAGTTATCCTTTGCTTAGGGCCTAAGCAAGACCCAAGGCCTTATCTTGGACCCTTGGACGAATTCTCTAGGGTTTCCCATAGGGTTTTCGTCCACCCCCTCCAAGGGAGTTCTGGATCCTTCCATTCAACTATCATTAATTGCAAACTAGTCCAGTAACTTTTATAATTAATTCTTTTTAACCTTTAACCCCAAAATCAATTCTGATTAATTTCTGGCTAACAATTAATTAACATAATGATTTCGAATTAATATATTAATCCATTAACATATTAATAAATCATTTATATATATATATATATATATATATATATATATATATATATTATATATATAATATGAATCTTATAAATTAATATCTCTCCTTTCATAATTCCTTGTCCAGTTTGCTAGATTGAGGGCAACCCAAAAGGACTGTGCTGCTATCAATTCAAGTACATACCAATTATAGTTATGGGCTTAGACACCTAATCCAACACTAATAACCTTGGATCTATGTTTGTCTAATTATCATGCAAAGTTGAATTCCAAGGTTAGATTCCTATCTAGCATACATGGGGAACAAATTTTAACTTGCATGAAAGATAGAATAACTACCTTGTTGTTGCTTATGATCCTTGAAACTTTGTGAGCCTAGCACCCCAAGGGTGATGCCTCAAATGCTTCACACAACACCAAATGCTTTGGAATGACTTTAGAGAGAAGACACACTTCTAAAATCGGCCTAGCCCTCTTGTTTCTTATGTGTATCCGATTTTGGTGGAGAATGGGTTTCTTATATAGTGTTGACACATCTAGGGTTACACCATGTAAACCCTAATGTGTCATGACTCTTCATTTCCATGACCCATGGATTTGTAACTCCCATGGAGCATCCTATGGGTGGAACCCAACTTGATAATCCATGGAGCCTCTTAGCCTACTATATAAGATATGGAAGATTTACATAATCTACCCATGTATTTAATTAGTTGCGTTTGATCACTTAATTAATTCTAAATTAATTCTTGATCAAACGAATTAAATAATATTATTAATATATATAACTTATAATATATTAATAAACCAATAAGTGTTAGTTCTCTCATTTTAGTTTATCCATTGGCATGGTGTCATGCAACCCAAATGGGACCATGCCGGGTCGGGTCAAGTAACTACCAGAAATAGTTATGGACTTAGACACCTTATCCAATAGTCTCCCACTTGGATAAGTCTAATAACTATAACTGCAATACTTCAGGAACCGATCGGCAATCGTAGCTCTTTCAAGGTCTCTCGGAACTGAGAAGATGATGATACGCCATTTAAGATAAGTGATCATATAATCCTCTGTTCTAGATACAGCCGGACAAATACATGGAACAATGTCTTACTTATTGTCCAGCAGTTTGTTTCCCGATTTCCGATTTGTTTTGACAAAGAACTTAATTGAACACATCAACTTAGTTCTGACCGGGCCCGGTACATAGGTCAAAAACAAATCATCGAGGGGCCCAGATATCAGCTTCTAATGCCAAGAAGGAACAGATAACTCTTCGACTCATATGGTTGTTCTACCACTCATTGAATTATACAAAAGCACGTTTTATAACATCGAGTGTACCAATGCGTTAACGTACAATCAATGCAATAACCAACTCATAAGTAACAAATCATATCTCGAGGTTTGAACACTTATTGATATTACCGTCTCACGATCACTCGAGATAAGTCCATGAAGTGATTCCAGTGAGCGTGGGTTGAGTCCAATGCTCAGAACTATGAGCACAGCATGAGTGTTGGAGCCATGTCCAAAAAACTTAGACCTCTGCAACCAATCATGACAGTCGTGATTCATACTACCTACTACTTCCTACTTACATGACCGACTGTGGAGGTTCGAATAATAGAATATACCAACATAATTATTCTGGAAGTCAAAACATGCAAAGAAATATAGTAAACGATCGACAAGAGATAGCAACACTTTATCATAATAAAACACCTTTTATTCAGCATCTATGTCAATTACACTTTACAAATTTCAAGGTTATCTAACTACTAAATCTAATATCATCCTTCAGCCCTATGCTCCGAGCATGCTGGAGATGCTTAACCCGAGTCAGTCCCTTCATGAGGGGATCTGCTGATTCTCATCCGATAATACCCTCTTTGCCACGAGGAGTCCTTCTTCTATTCGATGTTTGATGAAATGGTATTTTTTGTGATGTGTCTGGATCTCCCGTGATCCCTTGGTTCCTTGGCTAAGGCAACTGCACTTTCACTATCACAGAAAATTTCCATTGGCTCTTAATAGCTGGTACAACTCCAAGGTCTCCAAGAAGTTCTTCATCCATATCGCCTCCTTTGCTCTGCCACTCGCTAGCTGCTATATACTCTCTGATTCGCAAGTTGAATCAGCCACTGTCTCTTGCGTGGAACTCTTCCAAGAAATTGCTCCTCCTTTAAGGTAAAGACCCAGCCTGACTGAGAGCGGAAATTTATCCCTATCAGTCTGAAAGCTAGCATCACTATACCCTACAAACTCTCAATCTTCATCCCCCGAGGGTAAGGACTCAGTCCTTAGTCCTCCGTAGGTACTTGAGGATATTCTTTACCGCACAGTCCAGTGTGCCTTGCCAGGGTTCCCCTGATACCTGCATAACCAATGGTGCTCAAAGCAAAGGCTACATCAGGTCGAGTACACGTCATAGCATACATGATCGATCCTACAGCCGAAGCATAAGGTATCGACCATTTCTGCTATCTCAGCCTCAGTACTAGGGCTTTGTGTCTTACTCAATCTGGCGTTACTCTGGATAGGTAACTCTCCTTTCTTGGAGTCCTGCATGCCGAATCTCTTCAGCACCTTATCCAAGTAGTACTCTGACTAAGTCCAATTAGTCTTTTACTCCGGTCTCTCAAGATCCTATCCCTAGAATATAGGCAGCTTCTCCTAGGTCTTCATAGAGAAACACTTCCCAAGCCAGGACTTAACTTCCTGCAGAGTTGGGATGTCATTTCCTATGAGTAGTATGTCATCCACATACAATACCAAAAAGCTAACTATACTCCAACTAGCCTTGACATATACACAAGATTCATCTTCACTCCTAGAAAAGCCAAATTCCTTGACTTTCTCATCAAAGCAAAGATTCCATCTGCGAGGTGCTTGCTTTAACCATAAATGGATTTCCTCAAGCTTACACACTTTATTAGGGTACTTATACGTCTGTATTGACAAACCCTCTGGCTGACTCATGTAAACATCCTCAGCCAA